AATTAAAATGTTAAAATCAAATCTGATATTGTTTTACCTTTTATTTGGTGTGTGGAAGGTGTGCGGAAGAGGGGGTAGTCTTATACGGCGAGTATATAACAAACTCTGTATTTTGAGTGGAAATGTTAGGGGGTCGTCTTATACGCCCAGTCGTCTTATACGCCGGCAAATACGGTAATAGGTGGAATTTTCTAGGCACTTTCGGGAGGCTGGACTCCTTTGGCATCATGTCTCATTTTAGGAAGGGACCATAATTTGAAGAACACAGAAGTATAGAAAAGAATTGATAGCATTGTAAAAGTCACCTTAAAATATTACTTCTAAACTTCCTGTAGGGGAGCTTTTTAGCCATTTTGGATCCTGAGTGCTTTGGTGTATTTAATGAATGCTGTGGTCCTTCTTCCCTAAAATATACAAAGATACGATTTTGCATGTTCAGGTGGGTTGTAAAGCCCTGACGTTTATGCTAGGGCCCATATTTTTGAGGAGCTTTAGAACCCCTATTTGAATGGAAAGATTAGCTTGTTCCCACAGGTCTTTGAAAAGAAAAACATCTTCTTTTCCTCAAGTATAACAATATATTTGACTAAACAGTACATGGTGACTCTAATGTTTTCTATTTTCTCCTTCATTTAATATAGCCCACTGAATTGATTTCATGACAGACTATTGTTAACAACCCATACTGAAAAGACTTTGACCTTAGCCAACATGGTGGGAGCTGTAAGTGTCTCTCTTATGTTTACTTCCCAGCGAACCACAGCACCAAGCAGTGCCGGACACCGTGTGCCTTGAGGACGGCATGTGGAGAGTGCACCAGTGGCAGCTCCGAGTGCATGTGGTGCAGCAACATGAAGCAGTGTGTGGACTCCAATGCCTACGTGGCCTCCTTCCCTTATGGCCAGTGTATGGAGTGGTATACCATGAGCAGCTGTCCCCGTAAGTGAAAAGTGAGCTCTAAGCACTAATGAGTGCCATGTGTACGGGTGACAACTCCTGCAGTGAGGCGGTGCTGTCAGCCTCTGAACATTTGAGGGACAAGACTGGACCTGACCTTCGGCTCAGATCTGTCGATAGACTGTTTGATGATAATCTTCATATAGAACAAAGCACAATGATACAAGTAAATAAATGTAGGATAGATCACTGAGTACAGAAATAATTGCTCAACTTCAGTATCATGTTGCTCCATCCTATATGACCACATCTTTTTTTTAAAATATATTTTTATTGATTTCAGAGAGGAGGGGAGAGAGAGAAACATCAATGATGAGAGAGAAGCATTGATCGGCTGCCTCCTGCATACCCCACACTGGGGGGTCAAGCCCACAAACTGGGCATGTACACCAACTGGGAACTGAGCCATGACCTGCTGGTTCAGAGGTCAACTCTCAACCACTGAGCCATGCTGGCCGGGCTGGTCTCCACATCTTAATCTTCTAACTCTTAAAGTAAGTGTTTTTCAGTTGGTGACCTCTCGGGTCCCTTTTGGCTCCAACATCCTGAGATTGAGAGAGAGGAGGAGTCCCTAATACATGTAGAACAAGATATTGGGTTCTTCAAATTTATTATGCCATTTAAACAGTCACAATAGAATAGGAATTTTGACTCACAGAGGTTGAATAATCTGTTAAAAAAAAAAAGGGTGATTTAAATACAATGAATTCAGATCTAAAGGAGATAGTGAATTGCAACTTGTGTTTTCTTAACAGCTGAAAATTGTTCAGGCTACTGTACCTGTAGTCATTGCTTGGAGCAACCAGGCTGCGGCTGGTGTACTGATCCCAGCAATACTGGCAAAGGGAAATGCATAGAGGGCTCCTATAAAGGACCAGTGAAGATGCCTTCTCAGGCCCCTGTAGGAAATTTCTACCCACAGCCCCTTCTCAATTCCAGCATGTGTCTGGAGGACAGCAGATACAACTGGTCTTTTATTCATTGTCCAGGTAAGATGTCTTATGTATCCAAAATCAAGTGTTTCACTGCCTATCTGCAAAGAATAAAACCTTGAAAGCTACCTTACTTATATGGATTTCTTTTAAGAAAAAAATAACATCATTTTTGGAGAAGTAGTTTTACATGACAAATATTTTTATTTTCAGTTAATGAAAATAATAAAATTTCAAGTGAGTTGTTTTGCTAACATTACAAAAGTAATGAAATAAATTCATCATAAAAAACTAAATATTACAGATATAGATAAAATAAAAACTGGAATTCCTCTTCTCATCTACAGTTCATCAGAGAAGTAAAAACTTTTAACAGTTTGATACAGATATCTCTAGACATACCAATGTATATTTTTAAAACTAAAAAATACTCCCTGGCCAGTATTTTAAGTGGTTAGCGCACTGGCCTTCACACCTAAGGGTCATGCGTTTGATTCCTGGTCAAGGGTGTGTACCTGGGTTACAGGTTCGGTTCCCGGCCTGGTCGGGGTATGTGTAGGAGGCAACCAATCCATGTGCCTCTCACATCTATATTTCTCTTTCTCCCTCTTTCCCGTTCTCTTTCTCTCTTCCCCTCCCTCCCTTCCCCTCTCTAAAAATCAATGGAAAAAAATGTCCTAGATTAAGGTTTAAAAACTAAAAAATGCTATGCATATGATATAGTTTTATAGTTTGGTTTTTACTTAAAAATACATCTTGGCAGTTCTTAGGAGAAAAATTAAAAGTAAGTCTTCTGCCAACCCAGATGTTTCTCTCCACAAATGTGGAAAAGAAAGAAAACCGTTTTATTATTGAATATAAACTTTAAGCAGACTGTGATGCACATCACAGGCAAGCCACTAATGAGATTGCAAAGACCAACGAAATCTCACCCTTTTAAATAAATGGCCAAGCAGATACAATCCATTATATACATGTTATCAAGATGAATGATAGAGTTCGATCGGTAGCGGGAGCGGAGAGCGGACCCCAGAGAGCCCTGAGCAGCCCCACCGCCGCCGCCGGCCTAGTTACCATCACA